AAAAAAAAAAAAAAAAAAAAAATGAAGTGGCCAGGTGAGGTGGCTCACGCCTGTAATCCCAGCACTTTGGTAGGCTGAGGCAGGCAGATTGCCTGAGCTCAGGAGTTCATGACCAGTCTGGGCAACAATTGTGAAGCCCTGTCTCTACCAAAATACAAAACATTAGCCAGGCGTAGCGGCGTGGGCCTGTAGTCCCTGCTACTCTGGAGGCTCAGGCAGGAGAACTGCTTGAACCCGGCAAGCAAAGGTTGCATTGAGCCAAGATCACACCACTGCACTCCAGCCTGGGCCACAGAGTGAGACTCTGTCTCAAAAAAAAAAGTTAAAAAAAAAAAAAAGGAAGTGCTCCTAGTGGTGCTGAGGGCAGCAGCAGTTGCAGTAAAGTAAGATCCTGGTTTATGTAGCCACTGTGAACCGCAGCATCCAGCGCCTGGTGGCAGTGGTCATAGAACAGATCTGTGAATGTTATTTCTCAAAACACAGCCCCAAGCCTGTTCTCCAGGCTTCCTGATAATTCTGTGAGCTACCTAATACCCTTTGTGTAAACTCCTTTTCTACCGAACCAAAGAAATTTAAGTGAAAAGGTGCAGACTGCTGAACCACAAAACACATGTTTAAAGCATAACCCAGGAAAGAAAATGAAAAAAAAATTGTGTGGTTAAATACACATAATATAAAATTTACCACTTTAACCATTTTTGTGTTTAATTTAGTAGCATTAAGTACTATTACAATATAATGAAGCCATCACCACTGTCCACTTTCAGAACTGTGAAAATGAAAAATTTTAACATAGATTAATGTCTTTGAATAGTCCACATTTCTAGGTCAGTTTTAATTCAAGTTAACATTTAATTGTCTAATTTCTACAACGTAAGCTCCACAGCTCTGTTGTTTATTGCTGTATTACCAACATCTTGTAGATGCAAGAAAAATATTTGGTATTGAGTGATCCAATGGGATATTCTTGAGTCTAGTTTTTGTGCAATGCCTAAGCAACTGGATGAGGGTGTAGACAAGTGTATACATGCAG